CAGACAGTCTAAATACCCATCAACAGAAGAATGGCTAAACAATCACTGGTACATACACACAAAAGGATACTACAAAGTGTTGAAGAATAATGATGAATCTGTGAAACAACATGGTTGAATCTGGAGGACATTATCCTGAGTGAAATTAGTTAATCACAAAAGGACAACTATTGTATGAGACCAATATTATTAAAAGTTTGAAAATTTAAAAACAGGTTTTCTTGATAAAAGAACAATCTATGACAGTTACAGGGGCAGGGAGGGAAAATTATTCACGGGCTAGAAGTGACAGGGCAGACAATCTACAAGAGGGGGATAATCAGAGGTAAGATGAAGGTAGCGCAGGAGACAAAGGGAGGAATACAACAGATAAAGTGAATAAAGGTAAATACTGTTAGCTAAAGGTACATGGAGGGGATTGCAATGAAGCAAAGTATGTGATTTGTTGAATGTAATGCTGATGATCTGCTTTGTAATCCAACCTTCACTCAATTCACAATGAAGAGTAAAAAAAAAAAAGGTAGGGCAAGGCCTAACTTATAAGTATACTTTAAAAGAGATTTTTTTTAAACTGAGGTATAACAAATCTTAAGCATACGTTTCTGCTGCTGCAGTGCGCCATTACGTCAATTCTGACTCAGCAGCTAACCAAAAGACTGGGGGTTCAAACTCATAGCATGGAGTTTTTGAAGCTGTAAATATTCACAAGAGCAGAAGCCTCATCATTCTCCTGTGAAGCAACTGGTGGATTTGAACTGCTGACCTTGTGGTTAGCAGCCCAACACAGACTCCACTAGGCTACCAGGATTCCTTAAGTGTATACAGCACAATAATTTATTACATTTGTACACACCTGTAGACAATCCACCTTAGCAGAGTTTTACAGCTCTGAAACGGTATTTTTCAGTCCAATACACAGTAAGAGAAACAGTAGCGAAAGCCTACAATAGAGAAGTCCATACTAAAGCAGTTTATCCTTGAGCAATATCCAAAATAAGGTAACAGCAGGAAACAAATACAGCCACAGTTGACACGGGTGGACATAATGTTCACAATCTGTGAGATCAAAACTTGGCACGATTCCTGATTTCAAAGATTTATTCCCGAAGGGGAAAGGGCAGTAAATTGGTATGTCCAACTGTAGTTAAAAGTAAGGAATGCATTTCTCCAGCCTAAATGGAAAAGAAGATTTAAAGACAGGGCAATAAATTTTCAATCACTACAGAAAAAACTCACACTACTAAGGGAATGTTTGGGTTTTCACAAATGCTAGCAGACAGGCCCAGTCTGACCACCTTCCTGCCTCCTATCTCTCAGAAGGACTCCATGTTGAAATCAACTGGAAAAAATCTGGGAGCTTTTAAAATCCCAAGGCCATAAAGAGGGAATGCTATAGAACAGGTCCAGCTAAAGAAAGTCAAACCTGGGAGGCATACACTTAGGCTAGCCTATCACAAACAAAACTCAGAGTCACAAATCACTGAGAACTGACTACGGAGTCTTTGGGTGGTGCAAAGTTACTGTGCTTAGCTGCTAACCAAAAGATTGGGGATTCAAATCTACCCAGCGGTGCCTCAGAAGAAAAGTCTGGCCGTCTACTGAAAACACACTGAAGCATAGTTCTATCCGACCCACATGAGGTCACCCTGAGTCGGCGTGAATTTGATGGCTGGCTGTATGCCGTTGCATTGGTCCTGATTCACAATGACCCTACGGGAGCAGAAACCCTCATCTGTCTACCAAGGAGCACCTGGTGGATTTGAACTTCTGACCTTGAGGTTAGCAGCCCAACTCGTAACCTACTACCCCACCTGGGCTCCTTCATAGCTACTGTGATTCTGTTTGTTTTACTATGTGCCAGGCGCTGTACTTCGTATTTTGTGTACATGTTTCACATTTAATCCTCATAAATCCAAGGTAAAGAACGATTCTTATCAGTGTTTTCCAGAATAGGAAACTTGAGTTTGGAATTCAAGTAACTGCCCCAACTAGGAGAGGGCAAGGCTCACACCCTACATTCCCATGATTCTACAGTCTTGTCCTGGCCATTACAGACACCATCCTAAGAAGGCTTCCCTGTCCCAACCACCTCCCTACCTTGCCTGCTCACCTGGCTTCCTGAATCAGCAGCAGGAAATCTGTAACCTTGACAGAGCATCTGAGTTAACCTGCTGCTACAAGTGAACCATAATGTGAGGAGAAACCTTTCAGTTTCCAGAAAAGTGCCCTTGTTGTCCAATCATCACCATCACCGTATCTAACCAATGCTGACTTTTAGTCCTACGCAAGCCAACCACCCTCTTCAATAAAAAACGGGGTTGTTTTCCCAGGGGATGGGGGGGGGGGTTATAATGGCCTCTAGTTATGTCAGTGCCTACCATATAAAGATATCAGTAGAAACAGGAGCTCCCCAGGGCGTCCCACAGCTCCACAGTATTTAATCGTGGTTGCACCCTGCCTGGTCAGAGGATGGTAGAAGAGTTTCTGTTGGAGACACTGAGGGCTAGGGGACCTCTTCTAAGGAGCCTCTAGCAGCCCTGTTGTTAACCTTGCTAACATTACCATACCCCTCTTCACCATCACGTTGGGGCCTGTCAGCATCCAGAACATGAGTTCCACAGCATTGATGTCATGGTCTCAGAAGGTCACCGCTGCTCTATAAACTCATTCACAGCTGCTGAGCCATTTCCCAGAAACCAGCTACAGCTCGGGGCCTGGGCCACCATTCCATTCCCCAGAAGCCAGCCACCACCTCCTTTCCTTTCCTCCTTCTTTTTCTCTGTCTGCTCTCCCAACCCTTTTCCCCTTTCCCCATTTCCTAAATTCCAGCCTCTTCCTGGTTTTTGTCACTGGCTTCATTAGCCTCCCACCCCCCATCAGCCTGTTTACCATACCCACAGGCAAATGTGGTATCTTGCACTCCTAACCCTCACATGTCAGAGAAAAGTCAACCCATGAGACCATGACCCCGAAACAGCAGGGTTGGGTTTGATGCCTGATCACCCAAGGGATAAAATAAATTTTATGTCTGGGACACCACCAAAGCAGGGCTCCTAAAATACTAAACTTGGTGAAGAGCTTCAAGAGTAGTTTTTTAAAACACTAAATTAGTTACTACAGGGGGAAAAAAAAATCAGAACTTAATTGGACTTCCTTATATATATGGGCTTGCGCATATATGAGGCTCCAGCATCTGCATGCACAGGTTTATTGCAAACTAAATGTGTTTAAACATGTCTCTGTGATCAGTGGATGACTGCAGACAAGCTCTCTCAGTAATGCACGTTTTAGTCTCATTAAACTGCCTTCAAAATATTGGCCAGTCAAAATAGCAGCTTCCAAGGCGATCTGCTTGTTGTTGTTGTTGTTGTTAAGAGCCATCGTGTTGGTTCCAACTCATAGTGACCCTGTATAAGGTATCTGAGGAGTGGCTAGTGAGTTTGAACTGCCGACCTTGCAGTTCAGATGGACCTTGTGTTCAATTGCTTATCCTACAGCGCCACACCAGGGCTCCTAGGCAATCTGCTAGGCCAGTTAAATTCCTAGCAGAGAGGTCAGCTCAGAAGGTTATAGTGAATATTTGGGGGAATTTCTAAGAGGTAATCTTGATAGATTTTCACAAAGAACACAGGTCAATCATGAGAGCTTATTAAGAGGAAGTTTTAAGAAAACTGAAAATGGCTTTGGTGAGAAAAAATGGTCAGGGAAGTTTCTTTCCATCATGGCAATGCAAGGGCTCAATTGCACTTGGAAAGGAGAATTTCATTTGGAAACCTTAGGCCATCCATCCTATAACCCTTCAGACTTCTTTTTGTTTCCCTAACTCAAAGAATGTTTTATAGGAACACAATCTGAGTCCCTCAAAATTGCTGTTTTAACGTAGTGTAAATCAGAGTGCAGAAATCTTTGGGGGAAAGGTTAGCGAGACAGAAACACCACATTCAGAAGTAAGTGTTCAGAATTAGATGGAGGGGATGTCATAAAACAACAGCTTTACATTTTGATATTTTTGTTGAATGATGCATTCAATGATTTTGTAGCAATATCTTTTGACTTACATAGAATGGGGCTTCAAAAAGTTTGTGGAAAAAAAGGCATTAAAAGGTCACTGACAGAGAAGCAGTGATGCCAGAAATGGAAGCAGAGACGATGAGTGGAGAAATGGAGTGGCTGGAGACTTTAGACCCAGAGAAGGAGAGGGGTTGTGTGCTGATGACCGGGGGGAGGAAGGCTTGCAGGGTGTACCCTTTGGTTGATTGATGATGCATGGAGGGGACTGTAACCATGGCAATGAAATGATACACGATAGGATGAATGTAAAGCTAATGTTCTCCTACGTTTGAGAGAACATCCCATGTTCTCCCATCTTTTTATTGGCCTCTTCAATTGCTTTCAGAAAACTATTGGTTTCTTCCTATAAAAGAAACATTCTCCTTAACACACCCATGGAACACCTCACTACTGACTAGGGTCCAAACAACTTTGGCCCTTGCTCAATCATAATATCAAAAAGCATGACCTTGGGGCCTATGACTTAGTTTTCATGATTCTGGTTCTCATCTGTGAAGCAGAATTTGAAGTCCACTATCGCGCATGTGAAATAGCCTGTTAGCATAGTGGGTTACAAGTTGGACTGCTAACTGCAAGGTCAGCAGTTCAAATCTACTAGCCGCTCCATGGGAGAAAATAAGGCTATCTGCTCCTATAAAGAGTTAGAGCCTCGGAAACCCTACACAGGGTTGATACGAATCAGGACAGACTTGACAGCATTCCACCACCACCACCCGTGTGTGTGTGTGTGTGTGTGTGTGTGTGTGTGCGCACATACTTACGCACACACATACACTCGTATGTATACATATATGTGTGCATGGTTTTGTTGTTTTCAATTACAAATTTGAAAGATGACAGAGACAGTGTTGCGAGCTCCCCAAGTCTTCAGATGGGCCCACAGGGAGAGGTTGAATGAGTTGGGAATAGGGCCAAGGACAGTGTTTTACCTTTTCCATGCGCTCGATCAGCCGATCCAGCTCCCCAATCCTCTGGTCTTTCTCCTCTAGGCTGATCTCAGCCAAATGCATCTTTTTATTGGCCTCTTCGATTGCTTTCAGAAAACTATTGGTTTCTTCCTGTAAAAGAAACACTCTCCTTAACACACCCATGGAACACCTCACTACTGACTAGGGTCCAAACAACTTTGGCCCTGATCAGTCATAATATCAAAAAGCATGACCTTGGGGCCTATGACTTAGTTTTCATGATTCTGGTTCTCATCTGTGAATAAAGACACACTATATACAGCTTCTAAATGAACTTGACTATTTCTTCCCCTTTTAGCCCTTCAGCTCTTATATCTGAAAGGTGCAGAAGTACCTGCAAGTGCTACTTAGCCCTTGACTAGATGCTCAATGTGTCAGTGTATTGGCCAAGGATGTACAGTGAGTTTGGGGCTAGATCTGGAATTGAATAAACAATGTACAGGTCTTTTTCCCACTTTGTAATGTACCAACTCATCCCTAAGAAGAAAGCCCAGCTGATCAACCAGTGCATTTACTAAGTCTGTAAGGAGATAAGGAAAGGTAGACATGGAATTCCTGTCTTCAAGGAACTCAGGATCTTCTGGAAAGGCCAAGATGTGAGCCGTGCATCCAGCTCTAGTAACAGGTATAAGGTAATTCCAGAGCACAGAGCAGAGAGATAGAGCGGGTGTGCCAGGGGCAGAGGACACGAGTAACTGTGTGACTACTTCATTCCTTGTTGTTAGGTGCCATCAAGTTGGCTCCAGCTCATAGTGACGCTGTGTGTAACAGAACAGAACACTGCCTGTCCTGCCCATCCTCACAATAGTAGCTATGCTTGGGCTCATTGTTGCAGCTACTGAGTCAGTCCATGTCGTTGAGAAGGCCCCCTCCTTTCCAGGTACTGTAGGCAGCCTGCAGTAGAATCGTGAGTAGGGTAAGAGGAACTTGCAGGTAGAGAGGAGAGGGCTGGAGTGAAGTAGGGCATGGTTGCAGATAAGCCCAGGATCCATGTGGATGCTGGTGAACGGTCCAGATTAGCTGGAGAAAGGGTTGTATTTCAAGACAGGGAGCTATTCTGAACGGAGAGAGGGGGTAAATAAAGGAAGGGAAAGATGGGTGAGAATGAGCAAATAAATAAGTTCCTTTGACTCCTTGCCCATATTCGAGTCCACTGACACACCTCTAAGAAGAAACCTGTCTAATTAAACTCCACCAACAATGAGGAGTCCCTGTGTGGTGCAAATAGTTAACATGCTCAGCTGCTAACCTCAAGATTGGAGGTTCGAGTCCTCCCAGAGATAACTTGGAAGAAAGATTAGACAGTCTACTTCTAAATGACACCAACCACTGAAAACCCCATGGAGCCCATTTCTACCCTGACACACTTGGATTTGCCATGAGTCAGAACGGACTAGAGGGCACCTGGCTGGGGAGCAAGAATGAACCAGCTTCATCTCAGTGGCTGGATCAGCAAGCGGCTCCAGCATACAAACCAGAAGAGCCTCTTTCTCGGCACTGTGCTTCTGCTGTTCTTCATGCAACTTTTCTTCATACTGGCTGTACAGCTTCCTGGTCATCTCTCTCATCACCTCAGCATTAGCTTCTTGGGATGATTCCACCTAAAATGAGAATCATTTCAGGTCTACAGCTTTGCAGGTTCCAAGGCCTTAACTCTATATGTGGGGGTGTATGAATACAAGGAGGGAATAAAGAACACAGACCCAACCATGAACCAGCATTCTGTGGTAGAGAGAAGTAACAGGAATAATGTGGGGGAGGGGTAGGACAAAGACATAAAAGGAGCACGCGGTAGCACGTTACATTAATTTATCTGGCATTAGCAGGACAAAGGTGTTCCATAGGAGAGAATTATTCTTCAGCAAATATATTCAAGGGGGGGGGAAAAACAGATGAAAGCAGAACATATAGAATAAAAGCGTCCTGGCATGGCACTGCAGGATAATGCATTGGACCACAAGGTCAGTGTGAACCGCAAAGCTGGCGGTTCCAAACTCATCAGCTGCTCCTTGGAAACCCTACAGAGGGTCACTATGAGTCAGAATCAACTCAACAGCACTTCACAACAACAACATGAAGAGACATATTAACTTAATGGTGGTGGAGTCAATTGGAAAAGGGTTGTGATAAGGGTTGCACAACATAAAGAATATAGATGCAGAAATTGTTGAATTTGAGAATATTTTGGTGTGCATATTTTCACCACAATAAAAAATGCACACACAAAAAGAAGAGAGAAGCACACAACTTAATTACCAAGTATGAATCTTATTTTTTCCTGAATTGTATATAAATAAGACAATCGGGATAATTTAAACATTGGGTATGAGAGGATTTCAAAAAGTTGATAGAAAATGTCCATTCTCTTTTGATTCTATTTTTCCATGAACTTTCTGAAATCCCTTCGTGTGTGCTGAAATATCTATGGATGGAAGGCTTCGGAGTAACCAGCAGAAGGAGCATGGGGGAAGTAGATGAGGATGTAGCTGACAGAATATTTACCCTGAGTTGGTGAATGTTGGGCTGGGTGGTAGGTACATGGAGGTTCATTATATTACTTCTTCTATTTCTGTGTGTGGCGCTGTGGGTTTATTTACTGGACTACAAAGTCAGCTTGAACCATAAGAAGTAGATCAGACTGAGGCTCTGGGTATCGATACAGTACAGTCAAGTCGACAAAACAGTTCTACTTACTTACGAAAGGACAACTCCAGAGGGGATCCAAGGGAGGCTGCCCCACCTGGATGGAGGACCTACCTGGAACCCCTATTCTGGCATCATTTCTTGGGGGAGGTTGAGAGAAGAGAAAATCAAGTCTTAAGGAAACTCCGTTTAGAAACAACCCAAATATTCACCAATAAGAAACTACATAAATAAATTATAGCACATCTATACAGTTTAATAGAGTCCTAGTGTCATGCTGTAGGATACGCACTACTAGACTGCTAACCACAAGGTCAGCGGTTCAAACTCACTAGCCACTCCCCAAATACCCTAGACAGGGTCGCTAGGAGTTGGAAGCGACTCAATGACACTAAACAACAACAACACAATTGAATGTGCAGCTTTAAAAAAGAACAAAGTAGTTGTTCTTTTTAAGAACAACATTAATACAGAACGCTCTCCAAGATCCAGAAAGTGAAAAATGGAAGGTATAAATATCTGTTTCGTATTCAACCCCATGAATGTAAAAAGAGATTTACACACAAATACAGACAAATAGAAGAAGAGATGCTTGATTACTCCCACACTTGGAATATCTATGGAAGCTGAATAAAGGGTAGCAATGGTTGTTTCTAGGAAAGGGAACTAAGGAATGAAAGGTCAGAAGTAGGAGAGATTTCCTCCTCTTCCCTAGTTACCTTTCATGTGGTTTCGCTGATTTATCCCCTTGTGCATGTATTACTTTAAAATAAACTCAAAACAAATTAATGTCATCAAACAAGGACGATTTGAGGAGACATTCCCCAATGGGAGCTGAAGTTGTCCCATCAATTACATTGGTCAAGCCAGTCTGTAGTTAAGATTTCAGTTAAATTCAAGTAAAATTCTGGACTCATCTATCCTTACCTTTGTGTTGTCTCAACAGTTGAGTTTAAAACATTCCAACCTCATTTGGGAGACACTACTATGCTAGGGGCCTCTGGTGGCTTAAGCAGGTCCAATTTTGAAGACAGAAAGAGTCAGCAGATACCTACTTCAGTACATGCGGGCAGAGCTGAGCATGGTGGTAGCTGGTGTTTCCTTTCTACCCAAGCCATTTCCTTACACGCAGACTTCCTAACATTCAGCTCATGTTGCTGATGGTTTACTTTTGTCCCTTCCTTCCAGGTTATTGTTTGTTCCAGAGAGCTGAGTTGGCTGGATAAGAAATCTCTGGATAAGTGAGGCACTGTTAATCGGTTACATAATCTTTGCTTTAAAAGTTTCTGGTGATAACTTCTAATTCTCCCTTCTCACAAACAGAAGGGCAAGAAGCCACTTCTTCAGAGACACTGTTACTTCAGTGTGCCCCACACTGCATTTCCTCTTCAGGTATATATTTCTAGAAAAGAACTTGTTCCTAGAGTCTGCTTTCTTGGCATTCATGTCATAGAAAATACCTTAAGTCCTTAGAACTTGTTTTATTTTAGGTTTGGTTTGGTTTGGTGTGAAGGAAGGAGAATAACATAATTCTGCTGCTCAGGATGAAAAAAAGCACTAGTCTCTGAAATGGGCAATTGTAGGTAAGGCCTGAGTTCTATGGAAGCAACTAGACTACCAACCTGCCTAAGGATGTCCTCAGATCCTAACGCCATACCACCTCTCGAACAAACAGGAATTTGCAAGCAGACACATACAGTAGACACTCGATAAAGGTTTGTAGAATGAATGGATAAAGCACCTATGCTGAGGTAGAGACTTTAAGAGTGGCAACCATGATATATGTAAAGAGAAGAGATGTCATACTTGAAGTGAGAACAGAAAGGAGCTAGCTGATGTACTCTAAACATCCTGGTCCTTCTCCCTAGGGCGGCTGTGTTTGGCCAAGTGGATTGTGCACTGCATACCACAGTGACCCAGCAATGCAATGTGGCAGCCCCCTCCTCTCCATTCGCCCATCCAGGAAGTAGCCCAAAGGCAGGAGGACCACACATCTCAGCTTGTTTCCACAACTAAATTACTAATCAGATCAGACCACCTTTCACTCCCAAACATTCCTGTTAGAGAAATAAATTATACCCATAAACAATATCCATAAATTTTATCCAAAATACCCATAAGGTACCCTCCTATAGGCTAACCTAAGGCTATATTAAAGAACGTCTCAGACTTAAATTAAAAAAATTAGTTCAGGAAATAATTTGTTGAGTGATTTCTATAAGCCAATTGTGTGTATTCTCCCAGCCACTGGACAGGAAATCTATTCATGTTTCCAATTTGGAGGGGCACTAGCACTGCCAGGGTGTGCCCTAGAGTCCTGATCACCCATCATTTTCCTTCATGAGGCCAGAGCCCAAGTACCACAAACTGTGAACCCCTTGGCTCTTTACTATCAAACCAAACAGCTGAGACCTCAGACAAACTCCAAACAGCTAAGGGCATAGATCTCTAAAGCATCTGAAGTCACACACCTGTGAGTATCCCAACAGCTTTCTCAGTAACTTAACACTACCATGTTGACTATCTGAGCCGCTCTTGCAGCTCTGGGGGTCAATGAAAGGAGCCCCAATGGGTGTTAATGGAGCCCTCAAAATCTGGACTGACAATCGTAATCACAGAAACCTCTTCAGTGTCTTCAAGCCATCTCCTGTGGGGCTGACCACAAAAAAAGATTTAAAAAACTCAAGAAAGAAGAGAATGGGGAAAAGGAACTGTATGTGTGGAGGGTGGGAGGAGAAAGCGGTACAGGAAAGAGAGCAAGATTCATGAGACATCTAGGCTCGTGCATGGTACCTTCATTTTCAGCAGCTGGTTTTCAATCTGCGTAACTTCTAGCTGCCTCTGCTTCTCCCGCAGCTTGTTCATGGATGCCTCATACGTCCGCTGCAGATTTCTGATTTGATCCTTAATGTTGCTATTTTCCAAAGTAACATCTACGAGTGTTTTCTGTTGGGATCAAGATAAAAACAAAACAAAACCTAGTGGTGAGAGGAAACATGGCAAGAGTCACGGATTGGAATGCCCTTCTGTCACATGTCACTTGGGTACATGTCAGACCATAGAGTTGCCAGCCTGCGACTCTGCTGAGATCCTTCCACAGTGCTCAAGATGTCTGCCACACTGTAGAATCATGACCAGCAAGCCACCACCACCACATTTCCACAACTGCTGCCAACGACACCTGCCACCACTAAAGAAAGATGGAAATGGATTAAAACGGTCTTTTCATAATACACCGTTTTACTTGGGAAGAATGAGGTGAAAATTGTTTAACACTTAAAAGGCAAAATGTATAAGTGTAAGTTCAAATATGTGGTTATACCAAAAAAAAAAAAAAAAAAAAAAATCACTTGGAAGAAACACACCAAATCCTATTAATGGGATTTACTATGTGATAGGATTATAGATGATTTTTATGTCCTTCTTTGTGGTTTACTTTACTTTCTAAGTTTAGACAAAGAAATCAATGCGTTTGGAAGAATGAAGATATCCCCCTTTTCTTAAAGGGGCTGTGACTTCTTAACTTCTAGACTACCTAGCTAATATTCCCTCTACTTCTGTAAGTATTAGGATAACATGGCTGATGTCATTCCAAAGGGTAAAGGCAGAGGAAGACAAGATAAAGAAGCACCCAGGAGTAGAGTTTAATGGCTCCATCAAGTTCTTGACAAGAGTCTCTTGATTATTGCTCCAGACTACCCATTTAAGCAAAAATGTTTAATATTGAGGCTATTTACTGCTTCAGTGTCCATGTGGCTGACAGTCCTTACAGACACACAGTTCCCATATATCCCAGAATTCCACCACTAGACACTGGGTCATGGGCACCCTCTATCGCCTCCCTAGGTCATCCACTTCAAATTAAAAGATTTGGGAATCCAGCTGTTGGACACAGATTATCTTTGGACAAAAATAGCCTCTCACTTCTAAATAGATTTAAGAAAAAAGATTCTCAATGGTACTAAAGAGATGATGACAGAAAGACTGGTGCCATCTGAAAGCATGGAATCACCATTTGTGCCTCAACGGACTTTAGGAGCCACCTAACCCAACCGCTCTCACTCAAAGTCCCACCAGCTTTACAGATACTACTCTTTCCTTCAAGAACCTACAATCTGACCAAGAGAACACGTTTCTTCTAGTTCTGGCTCTACCACTAGCCAAACACCATATTCAAGACTTTTCTTCTTGGTTGCCTTCAAGGAACTCTGGTAGCATAGTGGTTACGAATCGGGCTGCAGACCGCAAGGTCAGCAGTTCAAAACTACCAGCTGCCCCGTGGGAGAAAGATGAGGCTTTCTGCTCCCGTAAAGATTTACAGTCTTGGAAACCCTGTTCAGGGTCGCTATGGGTCAGAACCAACTCGAAGGCACTTAACAACAACAACAACTTGGTCATCTTCAGTTTCTTTAGCCATTAAAAAAGGGCATTAGAATTACTCATCTCAGAAGTTCTGTCTAGTTTAGACCAAAGGTCTGCTCTCATAATCAGGAAGGATAAAAGTGGGGTAGAGTAGACAACTAGAGAGATTGAGATCTTACATAAATAAGAAATCAACTGCTCTCAGACTCATTTGAGTTTTCCAGTTATAGGCTGATGCCTTTAAAGAAAAAATGGTTTGATGATTTTGTTACAAAGTTCTTTTGGCTGCCTGGGAATCAAAAACTGGACAATAACTAGTAATTTGCCATGATACCTAGGTTAAAGTTGACCGTGTCTGAACTTAGATTAAGTAGAGTCCTTCATGGTTGGTCAAGAGTGAAAAATGTCCAAAAGGGAAATGTTATGTTTATGGCATTAAAGAGAGCCTTGGAGAGCTCCCCAGTGGCAGGAGGAAGAGAAAACAAAGGCCAGTGAATAAACCAGAACGCAGTGTTGAGCTTGGCCTGAGGTTAAGGGAAAAGGGCATACAGCAGGAGAGCCAGGAAAAGGGTGGGACTTGGACACCCCATCCATTGGAAATGGGCATCCGGACAAACCCAAACACGGGACCCACCAAGACCCACTGCTGGACAGTGGCCTAGCTTTGTTGTTGGCATTATGTCGCATCAGCTACTACTGGTGAATACTAGGTTCCAGGGGAAATAGATAACCCCAACATGAAAATGTGTTTGCTTACATAATCAAATATTTATATTCAACTTGAAAGAATTTGAAATTGCTTGTGGATCTTTTAAGAGGAGGGTAAAAAGATGAGAGACAAATATCAAAGTTGGAGGAGGGGAAGAAACTATTATATATTTTGAAATCAAGGTCAAAAGAAACTGTTTCAGGTGAGTATAACACTATGTTCTCAATATTTTCAAGTTAATTTGCTTGTTAGGTGGGGATTCCGTTGGAAGAATAAATGGGCAGCATTTAAACAGTTACCCTTTACCATTGAATCCATTTCGACACACAGAGATCCTACAGGACGGAACAGAATTGCCCCATACGGTTCCCGAGGCTGTAATCTTTATGGCAAGTCCTGGTGTGGCACTTTAGGATAATGCACTAGACCATGAGGTCAGTTTGAACCACAAGGTCAGAGGTTCAAACTCACCAGCCGCTCCTAGGAAACCCTCTACAGGGTCACTATGAGTTAGAACCAACTCAACAGCAGTTAACAATAACAACAAAAGTCTTATGGAAGCAGACTGACACATCTTTCTCCCACGGAGCAGCTGGTGGGTTGGAACCACTGGCATTTGTGTTAGCAGCTGAGCACTTAACCACTACGCTACCAAGGCTCCTTATTTGAGTTGTTGTTAAGTGCCGGTGAGTTGGTTCCAACTCATAGCAATCCTGAATAGGGCTGCTAAGGAGCAGCTGGTGGGTTTGAATCACTGGTCTTGTGATTAGCAGTCCAATCAATACTTACCCTATGGTGGTGGTGGATGTGTGCTATTGAGTCAATTCCAACTAATAGTGATCCTATATAATGTTTCTGAGGATCTATATAAATCTTTATGGGAGCAGAAAGCCTCATCTTTCCCCCGGGGAAGCAGCTGGTCTTGCAGTCAGCAGTCCACTGTGTAACTATAGTCCACTATACCACCACGGCTCTTAATTCATCCAATGTCGTTGTTAAGTGGCATCGGTCCTGACTCATAGCAACCCTGTATAGGGTTTCCAAGGAGTGGTTGGTGGGTTTAAACTGCCAACCTTGCAGTGAGCAGTCCAGTGCTTACCATACAGCACCACACCAGGACCCCTACTTATCCTATTGTTGTTTATAAGTGCTATTGAGTCACTTCTGACTCATAACAACCCTGTATAGAGTTTCCAAGAAGCAGCTGGTGGGTTTGAGCCATCAGCCTTGTGGTCAGCAGTCCAGTACTGATCCTACAGTGCTACACTAGCACTCTACTTGTTGTTATTGTTGTTAAGTGCCGTCAAGTCGGTTCCAACCCATAGTGACCCTGTATAGAGTTTCCTAGGAACAGCTGGTGAGCTTGAACCACCAACCATGTGGTTCAAACCGACTTTGCAGTCCAGCACAGTAACCCACAGCAAGCACCACACCTGGACTCCAGGACTCTACTTTGTTGTTGTTAAGTGCCGTTGAGTCGGTTCCGACCCATAGCGACCCTGAACAGGGTTTCCGAGGCTGTAAATCTTTACGGGGGCAGAAAACCTCATCTTTGTCCTGTGGAGCAGCTGGTAGTTTCGAACTGCTGACCTTGAGGTTCACAGCCCAATTCGTAACCACTACGCTACCACAGCTCCTACTATACTAGCACCTGGCAAATCAAAGAAATCAAGAGAACAATTTCTTTAAATGGGTTAACAGTACATATTTTCATAGATACGTACTGGGTCTTTCTGTTTCCCTCTCCGGTACTATAAGGCAGCCTTTGAAATACACATGGCTCTTTCTAATGCACAATACTTTGTAAATTCAGAAAAAGGGCACAAAAACCTTTGGCAATCACTTGCCAAGAATGAGTATAAGTTGTCTTCAGTTAAGGCTATCTTTTTTTGTGACTGGGTGGAACCTTCTATAACACTTGGGCTACAGAGAGTAGTTGTATTGTATTAGGCACTGACACATAGGCCCATGTAGGTATCTGGTGGACCAAGTGACACCTCTAACACTGAACTCAGGATCTAAATCTTCATTTTAATGGGAGTAAAAACAACCACAGCTCAACGGTGTAGAGTCTCAGACAGAAAATAGTTCCTCCAAATTTTTCATCATCTTTCTGGCACAGTCTTTAACGGGGCTATGCTTAAAGATTTCGAATACTGATCTGAAGCCATTCTGTGACTTATTTATGTATGAAGAACAGGGTCTAATCTTCATTAAGTCTTGTTTCACTGGAACAGAGGGGACCCCAGTGTAACAGTGAGAAGACGAATACCTGCAGGCCAATGGAGTCCGAAGTCAAAGTTGAGTTCATGGCATTGAAACTATCCAGGGCTGATGACTGTGCTTGGATGTGATTCTCTAGATAGTCCTGCTGGGCCTGTGAAACCTGGGTAGAATGAAGAGAGGGTTATAGAAAAACCAATCCTTACAGACCCACAATAATCTTCACATAGGTTGGGGTTTTCTCTGATAACAACCATGTCTACTTCAACAATATTGCTTCAACAAGTAAGGCTTTACATTTAAAGAGCAACAACTGTATGGCTCAGAAAATAGAAAGACAATACTTTTTCAGTCTTTACACATTTACCCACAGAGCCTCAGTCTTCTGCGGTTGCTCAAGGAGGATATAACCAGAGTACCTCAGAGATTTGCCCACAAACAGTCAAGAAGTGGTACAACCCTAACTTCTTGTACTACCGTTCTCTTTCTACTCAAAGAAAGCATAAAGTACACACTCTGAGCTCACTCAATTCTTAAGAGTCATTTTTGTTGTTGCTGTTGTCCTTGTTGGGTGTGTGTGTTTAATTGTTTGAGATAAGAGAAATCAATTGTTTTGATTGTCAGTTGATGGATATATGGTCTAGTATACCTCATGATTTCAACTTTGATCTGCCCTTGAACCCTTTATCCCTATTGGCTATGTACAATTAACATCAAGGAAGTTACTGATAAGAGGATAAATATTAGAGGTATTTATGAGAACATAAGACTGGAGGGGAAACTCCTGTCTAATTATTCTCTATATGTGGACTAGTAGCTCTCAACAAGATATACGACAAGTAAGCAATACAATATAATGACTAGGAGCATAGGTATTTGAATCCCATCATTCACTAGCTTTATGGCCTTAAGCAAACCATATTCCCTTTCTGAATCAGAAAAAGTTTAAGGTAAGTAGGATAACATATGTGGATCCCTGGTAGCATAATGGATTCACAATGCTAACCTCAACGTCAGTTGTTAGGATCTACTAGAGGCTCCATGGGAGAAAGATGAGGATTTCTGCTCCCGTAAAGATTTATAGCCTCGGAAACCCTATACAGTGTAGCTATGAATCAGAACCGACACCACAGCACATAACCACCACCACAACCACCACCAGGATAAGATATAAAGCATTAAGTAATATCTAGTACATAGTCCTGTGTGTGGCGCTGTGGGTTAATGCGTTAGACTGCAATGTCGGTTTGAACTGCAAAGTCAGCAGTTCAAGCTCACCAGCTGCTCCTTGGAAACTCTATACAGGGTCACTACGGGTCAGAACTGAGATTTGTTTTCTCCCTTTGGCCACACATACCAACACCCATCAACAATGTCTGAACTCAAAGGGCGGTAAATATTCCACAGCTGGACAGGGGAATTGGTGACTTAACCACTCGGTAGCCACCGCAGGCAGCACTTTTCTGGATATTTTCTGTAAATGACCTAAGCTTACTCAGAAGATTGTTGTTGTTGTTAAGTGCCGTCGAGTCGGTTCCGACCCATAGCGACCCTGTATAGGGTTTCCAAGGAGCAGCTAGTGAGCTTAAACTGCCAACCTTGCAGTTCAAATGGCTTTGCAGTCTGGCGTATTAACCCACAGCGCCACACCAGGACCCCACTCAGAAGATTAGTAGGCACAAAATATTCTAAATATTCCCCAAACAATTGTCAAACTATTCAGCTGTGGAGTACTGATACTAAGTCACCCATGCTGGAACAGATTTGATTTTCATCAGGGTGGTCTTGAGTTAAACATTATAGAAGGACTGGATATAGGCAAGCAGGCAACAGAACTAGGGGTGAGGGTTTTGAAATGGACTCAGTGGGGAGTCACAAGAAGCAATCTAGCATGATGGAACAGGGGACTCAAGGGAGAAAGAACTGAGACAGAACCCCAAGACCAGGAGCATATGACATGCTCTCGTTCAGGTGTGTGTGTCCCCCAAAATAGTACTGTAGCCATTCCAGTCTGACTGCAGAATGTAGGATAGCCTCAGGGGAAGAAGGGACTGTAGGCCGAGAGACAATGTTCCTGCGGTTCTAGTCTGAGGAAATGAGGGGTGTGCAGGACAGAGCAACAGATAGCAAGGGCAGGGTCTTGTTTATGCATCAACTGCAAACTCAATCCTTCTGCTTTGATTACAATGGTGATAGAATGCATTTTCATTAAGTATGTAAGAATTTCCCAAGTCTCTTCCTACCTGCCATAAAGAATGTGGTTCAGTGGATCTGGTTGTGTACCTCACCCTATCTATAATCAAGGTACCAGGTCTTACTTAAGCAGATCATCTCAATCACAAAGTAAACTCAAATGTATGACTGACTGTTGTAACTGCTCTTTTCTGCAGATAGTAACGCTTATGGAATGCATGCCCATATACCTATACGTAGACTTTTAGCTTTGGAATTCTGAACAAATGTTGCTGTTCAGTGCTGTTGAGTCCGTTTCAACTCACAGCAACTCTGTATAGGATTTCCAAGGAGAGGCTGGTGGGTTTGAACCACCAACTTGGTTATTAGCAGTCCAGTGCTTATCCAACACACCCACACCAAAAATAAAATTCTTTCCCAGAAGCATTAGCTTGGTTAAACAACAGGAAAGTTATCTTTTACAAAAAAATTTCCATTCATGTAACACATTCATAAAAGGTGCACAGTAGGAAAAAAATCTCCCTTTCGTTCCTGTCCCATTGGCTCAGTTCCCACAGTGCCCGCCTCCACCCTCCCAACTAGGGACCACTGTGCATTGTTTTCTTGATTATCCTTCCAGTAACTTTTTGTGCACAACGCAAGACAATCTTTATTTTCCATCAAGATATATTTATTTCCCCCTCCTATTTTACACAAATCGCAGTATACTAGGCACCTTTTTATTTTTTGTCACCATCTACAATGTGATGTTGTTGGTGCTGTCCAATGCTTATCCTAGAGCACCAAACCAGAGCTCCAACTACTATGTTGTTGTCAAGTGCCATCGAGTCAGTTCTGACTCATAACGATCCTGCATAGGGTTTCCAAGGAGCAGCTGGTGAGTTTGAATGGCCAACTTTGTGGTTCACACCGACCTTGCGGTCCAGTACTTTACCCCACAGTGCCACACTAAGACTCTACAACTAGTCTATAAATTTTTATAAGTCTCTTTTGAAGAGCTTACGACTCTCTTTGTGTCTTTTTTTTTTTCTTCTACCAACTTTTTTTTTTTTCTTTTCCAACTACAGGTATTTTCTGTAGAGATATAACAATTTATTTAACTTGCTCCTTATTGATGGACATTTAGGTTTCCAATCTTTTGCTAGCACAAGCAGCGCTATAAAAATAACTTCATACACATGCATTTCACATGTGTGAGGAGGATCTGTACAATACATTCTTAAGAACAGAACTGCTGGGTCAAAAAACACGGGCATTTGTTATTTTGATAGATACTGCCAACTTGTTGTACTGACAGAAATAAAGATCTCCATTCCTGCCAACACATCAGTTCACGTTCAAATCATTTGTAAACAGTAATAGTTTTATATGTACTTGTCCAGTTTTTATACTTTTATTGGTTACATTTCCTTTTATTGTTTAACTGCACTGACTAGTATTTCAGATAGTATGTTAAATAATAATGCTGATAGTAGGCATCCTTTTTCTTGTGTCTGACTTTGGTGGGAAAGTTTCTAGTGTAAACAAGACTATACCTGCTACAAAAATGTTCCTTTAAGTAATAATAAACTTCATTCTATGATAAAGCTCCCTAGGTTTGTTTGAATTATGACTCCAGGCATAAAGAACATTGCATATCAAATATTTTTATGCACTAATCACTTAGAGGACATGCTGAGCTCTCTCATCCCTCGAATTTCCTCGTCACTCAGATTGTTACTTACTGATAATTCCTGGGTGAGCTGGCGAATCTTCTGCCTCATTTCATCATAGTCTCCATACATTCGCTTCCTTACTTTTTCCAGAGTGGCTCTCACCTGAAGCCCACAAAGATGCTAATTAGACATCAAGTTATAACATACTCCCCACGAGACTTTCAAAACTTTGTCGTTGTTGTTAAGTGCCGCCGAGTCAGTTCCAACTCATAGCAACCCTGTATAGGGTTCCCAAGGAGAGGGTGGTGGGCTTGAACTGCCAATCTTGTTGTTAGCAGTCCAGCACTTATTCTACAGCGTCACACCAAGACTTCAAATGGGATACAACGTGTCTAGGGAGCCCTTCCAGGAATAATCTGGAATTTCTAAATAGGGGAGACTTGTCATGAAGCTTTGTTTGCATAGCAAGCCTACTGTATGAAATTAAACTGCATGTTTATTGAAGGCAACTGGGAGGGGAAATATTGATAGAGACTGGGAGGGAGGGAAAGATTAAGACCTCAAGTCCTTCCCAGATGAATTCTACCAAGAGTCAATTTTCTCATCATTAGTTATAAACATTTTGGAAAAATTAGGTTCAAAGTACAGCTTTTCATTCTGGGCAGGGAGAATGGCATGTGTGACCCTGAGTTGGCTCTTGTTCTGTGTACCAGTAGCTAAGTAGGTGGAATGTTGAGCTGAGTATCACCACCACTGGCAAACACTGTGGGAAGTCAACTGGGCCAGAGTCACATAACAGGAGGGAAGCAAACAAATCCATAAACACATTCAGGAATGACCAAGCGGGGGACAGACTTGAAGGCAGGTCATAGAAGGTGGGACTTGAAAATTAATTTTAACTTGCAAATCATAGTGGAGGTTGGTAATTCTAGATTAGAACCAGCTCTGCAACCTCCACACATGTCATCCATGGCTCTTAATCAGCCTGAATCTGCTCTTTGTCTTGAGCAATGGGGATAACTCCACTCTGCTTTCAATGTTTACTGCTGAAGCAATGCCATGGTATTTGGGGCATTTAAATGAGGAATACCTAAGCATCTCCTTGAGAAAAACATAAGAGACTTAGAATGTTTGAGCTGCTCTTAGGAAAATCAGGAATGAAATACTCTGAGTGGTTACAATTTACTATAGTGGAGGAAGATGGCTGGGGATTTGAGGCTAGTGGTGGTTATCACATATGTTGAGTGCATTTGTATACGTGCGTGTGGCTTTTCTTCACGTCCTCTGTTTAAACATTTCTTATTTCTGAAATTTGTTAAGAGATGTTCTTTTTAAAAACTCATGTAAACATTAAGATAACATAGCTTTGTGTCTTATCTGCAAATGCACCAATTTGCACCAAATAAAACGGGGCTCACAGAGCTAGAGGTTTTGACCTTACATGGGAATTATTTATATGAGAAAGCAGAAGCCCAGAAAGGGCAAGTGGCATGTGGGCCAAATATAGGGCTGGAGTCTCTGTCTCTGACTCAGCCTCTTAGAAGACGAGCATTTTCCAGGACAAAAAGCAGTGTCTGCGGCCCTTCAATGTCAGAGAAATTCTCTTCCTCTTTTATCTAAATCAGATGCCTTGCTTAGCCAACAGGTGCATCAATCACTCTAGGAGGACCATGTTGTTATTGTTAAGTGCTATCAAGTCGGTTCTGACTTATAGAGACTCTGTATAGGGTTTCTAAGAAGCAGGTAGGTTTGAACTGCCAACCTTGTGGTTACCAGCCCAGTGCTTATCCTACAGCACCACACTAGGACTCCAACGGGTGGAACGAAAAAGAAATGGCAGTATATAGGTGACATATCAATGGATGCATGAGTGGATAGATAGAAAGATTCAAATGGAATGCTATAAAATGTTAACACCTGTTTTGAATAAATTTATGTCTGATTTTGTTTTCTTCATAAGATATTTTTGTATTTTCCAAATTTTCTCCAAAGAGCATGTATTTAAGATAATAAATTAAATATTATATTCCAAAAAATGGCATTGATTGCTTGTGTTGTACCATGTCTACTGTGGTAGGCTTCTCAGCATCTGCTGAACCCAACTGACTGGTCTGAACCAATCATGGTCTTCCCATTCCTTGCCAGTGGAGTGCCTGGGAATGGTCAAGTGAGCTAATCCTGGCCAGCGGCACATGAGGCAAATAATGGAGGTCCTCTAGACTGTAACACCATGAGGAATAGCCTCTTTGCTTCCTCCAGAAACTGTCAGATTTTCAGATGCTGCCACTAGCCTAAGGCTGAAAGAGGAAAGAACCAAGGGAAATTCAGACTGTGGTAATGAAGCCCGAAGTGCCCTGCCTGGAGCCCATCTACTCCTATGCTTAATTCTATAAGACATAAACATCTTTTTTAATGAAGCCAGTTTGAGCTAGCTTTTCTGTTACTGGCTGCCCAAATGATTCAGATTTGTGCAGGTTACTTTGGGGTGTCCAAGATACTAAGCAAAAGCACTTGGGAAACTCTATTTCATATGCAGTAGGAAAGCAAGCCATTTGGTATTCTGAGCATCTATATTTAATACTGCCCACCTGTTGACGGCACTTAACAACAACAACAATCTCACAGAAGTTCAAACTATACCCCATCACAGAATTACATCTGTATTTTTAACATGACCAAGAAACTAGGTAGAAAAATTTCCATCCAAAATGATAATGCTAAGAAATCTTTCAAAAGGCCTTATTACAGTCACATCAATGCTGCCGACCCACCCTCTTACATATAACTAAAAGAGGAGAAAGGAGGAAAATACTCCTTAAATGGCTCACATCTTTGATGTAGTTCATTTCTTCCTTCAGCTGATTGGTGGACCAGCCGTACACCACCATTTCTTTCTGCTGATTTTGATCTGATCTTCGTACCACACCATAAACGACACCCTGAGGAAGTTTCCTGGTAGCGTCTCCATTGCTGATGTCAGGATGCTTTGAGAAGGTAGAAGGAGACAGAAAAAATAACATTTTAGGCCTCATGACCCAAGCCATGGTATTTTCAATAAGCTCATAGGCATGTGAAAGCTGGACAGTAAATAAGGAAGACCTTAGGAGAATTGATGCTTTTGAGTTATGATGTTGGAGGAGAATATGAAAGTGCCATGGGCTGCCAAAAGAACCAATACATCCATTTTGGAAGAAGTGCAGACAGAGTGCTCCTTAGAGGCTAAGATGGCCAAACTTTGTCTCTCATACTTCAGACATAATGTCAGGAGGAGACCAGTCGCTGGAGAAGGGTATCATGTTTGGTAAGGTGGAGGGTCAGAGAAAAAGAGGAAGACCCCCAACTAGATGTATTGGCCAGGTGGCAGCATCGATGGACTCAAGCGTGGAAACAGTAGTGAGGTTGGCCCAGGATCGGGCAGTGTTTCATTCTGCTGTGCATAGGGTCACTATGAGTCGGTACCGACTTGATGGCACCTAACAACAACAAATAAGGAACCCTGGTGGCACCGCGGATTAAGCATCGGGTTACTAACTGAAAGGTTAGCAGTTTGAATTCACCAGCTGTTCGTAAAGACTCACACCCTTGGAACCCCTATGGGCAGTTCTACTCTGTCCTACAGGGTCACTAAGATCAGAATCAACTCCATAGCGGTGAGGTTTGGGGCCTCATGTGAACAGCTACAAAAAGGGCCCACCATGTGTAGCTGTGCAGTTCTGCCCGACACAGGAGTGCCTGGCAACAGGTAAGGCGGGGATGAAACTCAGTCTGGTCTCTACTTGCCATGTCTCACCTGGCCTGGGCTTGGCTTGCCTTCACAATGAGCATCTCTCTCTAATTTGTCCTAAGGCCCCACCCAGTCACTTAGTAATAAATTTGCAGAGCTGGATCTTTCCAGAGGGGGCATCTTTTCCTCATTCTTACAAAAGTGCCAGATGGGGTTATCTCTCTGATAACTAACATATTGCTGTTGTGTGCTATCAAGTCTGTTCCAACTAATAGCAACTCTGTATAGGGTCTCCTGATGGTGGTTGGTGGGTTTGAACTGTAGACTTCACAGTTACCAGTCCAGTGCTTATCCTACAGCACCACACCAGTGTCTGAAATCTCACATTCTTATTAATTCTGCCTTCCCCCTGGGGTCACCTCCTCTGTGTGTCTTCAACTTCTGCATGGTATGTGTAGTCAGAAATACATGAGGTTGGGGGTGAATAAAAGGAGCCCTGGTGGTGCAGCAGTTAAGCACTCAGCTGCAAACCAAAAGGTAGGCAGTTCGAACCCACCAGCTGCCCCACAGGAGAAAGATGAGAAACCATTTTCCATAAAGATTAGAAATCTGATGGGGCAGTTCTACTAAAGGGTCATTATGAGTCAGAATTGATTCTACATCAGTGGGTTTGTTTTTTGGTGGAAGAAGAATGTTGGCAGCCAGCCGGCAGCCAAACTGTCCTCCAAGGTTGTTGTTGTTGTTGTTATGTGCCATCGAGTCGGTTCCGACCCATAGCGACCCTGTATAGGGTTTCCGAGGGTGTAAATCTTTACGGGAGTAGAAAGCGTCATCTTTCTCCCGCGGAGCGGCTGGTAGTTTCGAACCGCTGACCTTAAGGTTCGCAGCCCGATTCGTAACCACTACACTACCAGAAGAATGTTGGCAGCCAGCCGGCAGCCAAACTGTCCTCCAAGGTTAGGGCTGTTGTTGTGAAGTGCCATCAAGTTGGCTCCAACTCACAGCAACCTTGTGAAGAGCGACGGGTGGGTCTGAACTACTGGTCTTGTGGTGAGCAGCCTGGTGACTAGGGCTGAGTGGGATTGAAACAGTCTGTTGTGACCACTCCTTAAATATGTCTGAAAAGCCAAGCAGAGATGCTGTGACTTGAGTTCAAAGGTATCTCCCTGGTCCTGTTAAATCCTTAATTCCTTCGATTAAAACACTGATCATTGTTGGAATGCAAATACCCTTGGGAACAGGTACTACAACAAAGTTTTAACACATCTTTGTAGAATGAAGTCTCAAGAAGTAGAAGGGAAAACTAAGATTGGCCAAACATCTACTGTTCCTTAGCACAATTAATCTTCACACTTATCCTCCAGCAGAGCAGCTGTACTCTATGGCTGAGAATACTTAAATTCAGAGAGCTTAAGTATCTTGCTAACTTGTCCATAGTCACACTCCTAGATTCAAGCCCAGGTCTGTTTGACTGTAAGTACATTTATTTGTAGGGGCACAGACCAGGGAGAGACACAAGTAAAAACAGCAAGACGAAAGACTGAGGCTTCAGAGACAAACTGCCCTGTTTCCAAGGTTCCCTAGGGCTGACCCTGGTACCCAGACAATGCCATAGTACGGAAGCTTGAAGTTCATCATGGCAACTTTGTTTTCTCACTGATCTTTGAACCACCTTTACACAAATTCTCTCCATGTACTCACACAACACTCTTGACATACAAAACTGCAATTTGCATTTAAAATCATCCACTGAGTCCGAACAGTAGGTTCTTTATGATTCCGCTCATTTGAAAGTTATAAAAAACAAATCCAGAGAGCTACACCACAAATGATTCATAATGATACCCCTAAGCAGCGGCAGTGAGGTGAACAGAGGAGCTGCTGATAGACATGACTTTCGCTTTTGTCTTTATACCCTTATTAGTATTTTTTGTTTTATAATAAAAACTTCTTAAGACTTCACAAACATCTGCTGTTTCCCACCCTTCTGCACATCTGGGGGAAGAAACCGGGTGGAAAGGAGCTGTAACATTTTGCATTTACTTCTGATAAACGCATGAGTCTCTCATGCTTACATCCCACCGATATTGAAATGAGTATGTAAGCTAGATGGCTAGGCTGCTAAATGGTTCTTTTTGTGGAGTGACAAGCTGGGATGAAGACATCCTGTGTACTAGACATATAATTAAGAAGAGGAAAAGCTCTAATGAAACTCCCACACTCCAGGAAACAAAAGCCTGCTCCTTCAGTCTCCGACTCCGCCCATTCCTGAAAACCCCACCCATTCCTGAAAACCAAGCTGGTGACCACAGGAAGCTGAGGTAAACTGCATTTCTACAAAGCAAAGGCTTTCACAGGTGGGGTGGTTTGCAGGAAACCCCTCAGGTGACTGGATACAGAAGATTCGGCCTCAACACCAGCACAGGTGGGAAGACCATCATTGGTGGTACAAATAATGCCACAGACAGGCAGCCTGCAATACTGCATTAGACATCTTGGATCTAAAAGTTAAACACCTGGAAAGAGATCTAAGACACATTAAGGGAAAAATAGTAAATTTCATAATTCCTATTTTTTTTTTTTAAATGTGCTTGGCTGTTTTAAAATTGCTTGTGAGGATAGAATTTTTCAAACCTTTCAGTTTCCTCATTAGATGGGGAATTGTGCTTTTTCTTTTACGCTATTTGAATTTGGTTTGGGGCAAAAAAAAAAAGGAGAGGGATACTATTTTTGAATTGATTCTTTTTAATTGTTTTAAAGTATTAAACTGTCAGGGTTAAAGTAAAAGGCCCAGGAGTGGTGAGGGGAGGATCTGGTTACAAGACTCTGCTTAGAAACAGGGCAATCAGCTTGGGTCACTCCACATCTAGCCTTCAGAGCTGCTACATTGACAGGGAAAAGGATCCAAGGTTTAAATAAAGAGGAGATGGTATTTGGGTTTTGGCCATCTTATTATACATTTTCTTTCATCCTCACAGTAACCCTAGCCATACCCAACGCCATAAATTGATTTTGACGCACAGCAGCCCAACAAGACATACAGTCTCCGAGGCTACAAATCTTTACAAAAGCAGACTGCTGCCTCTTTTAACCGTGTATCAGTTAGTGGATTTGAACCACCTTTTGGTTGGCAACTAAGCGTTTTAAACACTGCATCAGCAGAGGCTCCTTCACAATAATTCGGCCATCTAAATACAATTAGCTCGGCCAAGAATTCAAATGTCTGTGTCTTTACAAATTTAAGTTAGCTGCTTGGCCCCAATGCCTCCAAAATAGTTAATAGTCAAGAACAGAATTGGAACTCACATCTCTGTGTTGTAGCCTCGAGCCTGGCCCTCAGCTCCAAGGTCTGTTTGGAAGAGAATTCTTCTCTCTCCATCCACACCAGCCCTACGGCTCCTTCATTGGTCAACCTTCTTCTAGCCTCAGGGCACTTATACAAGCTCACCATTCAGATGAAATCTCTCTCCTTCCAGGAAGTCTTCACTGACTCTTCACACAGTCTCATAGCCCTGCTCCACAGCAATCAACAGAGCCATACCAAGATAACTAGTGTTTCTGCACATGTAGGACCTGCCTCCTCTGCAAACTTCAACAAGTCTAGGGCCTTGTTTGTCTCCTTTTCCCTTATAATCTCCAGCATCTAGCAGTGACTGATGTGCAATGGGATTCTCCATAAACATTTACTGAATAAAGGAGCTCTGGTAGTATAGTGGTTACGAACTGCAAGGTCAGCAGTTCGAAACTACCAGCTGTTCCGTGGGAGAAAGATGAGGCTTTCTGCTCCCGTAAAGATTTACAGCCTCAGAAACCCTGTACAGGGTTGCTGTGGGTTGGAACCGACTCCATGGCACATAACAACAACAATAACAAGTTGGAAGAGGTTCTGGGAATTACCCAAGGGGTATAAACATGGTTTAGCTGAAGGGAATAAATACTCTTTGTTCCTCTTAAAATAGGTCAGGTAGCTGATGTTTGCTCCAATCAATCCCCATTTGGAGGACGAGAGACTTCACAAAATGTATACTCAGATTAAAAACAATGAACTCTATACCAATAAAACTCCTTCCATGAAGCGACAGAAGGCAAAATCAACCTGAAAACAAAAAACCCAATAAGTGCATGGAATGAAAGAAGGTTATTATTAACAAAGACGTGAAAAGGAAACAACCAACAGAAAGGCACTGTGTGATCCCTAGGCAGATTTAATCCATAAAACACAAACATTCTCAAGTCGTTCCCTCCATCTACTCCAAGCTG